CTTGGGGATTGGAATAGCTTATTACAAATTTATTTATTATATTGTCATTTCGAAACATTTACAATATATATATATATATATACTCTGGACATGACACTGAATTATGTGTAGTATGTATCAAAAACTTATAAACTTAAAATTACACTCAACCAGAACTTTGAACAAAATTTGCTCAAATTTTCATTTCCAGTCGCCAATCGAATTGTATTCTGGCTGTATAATGTTAAGTAGATCAAACTGAACCAAAGATTTAAATCCTCATGTTCATCATTTATATGAACAAATTTTCTTCTCCTACTTTGTCTTATTTAGTCACTTTTGGTAATCTTTTGCCGAGCCTTTGAGGAGAAAATTACTTCATGTCACATAGACAATTTGACATCACTCGTAATGCGATGCTCTATACTCCATAGAGGATCGTCTAGGGGCGTAAAATGTCAAAAAAAGATAATCTTTTAAGGAATCGTTTCAAGAACGTTTTCTTAGGTATCACCTAGACCCATCCATTGCTCTTTCCTTAAAATTAAATCCTCATAACTTAGCCCTTTCAAGTGCACAACTAACCTTGAGATCATAACCTTGAAACTCTTGGAATATCCTCCGTCTTTGAGATGAAAAGTTCAACCCCTCCACGTTTCCCTACATTATATATGACTATGCCATGTGCAAATGAGTTGCTCAAACATTTTGTGTCTTTTCCACGAATACCGCATAAGAAATTCGCATTGTGTGACCTCTAGTAAATAATATGCACAGTCTTCTTTCGAAATTTAGTTGAGGAGTGGTTCACTCGTTCAACTTAAACGATCAGTTGTACTATAGTAAATATATCGGTCGAAAACAATAAATATTCACACAAGCATAGAAAGTTCGTCAAGAAATTCACACCTACTGCTCCACCATGGGCGAGTAAAACTGTCAGTGGGATAAACTAAAGTACCATAGAATCAAAGGTACATTAATGAGTGACTATCAAAAAATGCAATATTTTTCATAGATGGTGACTATCAGGTCAAACCTGGTCTAAAACGAAAGAGAAGATGGATCCCTATGTCGAGATACTCTCCTCTATTCTAGTGTACATATTTTATTTATCTCCTGACACTTATCCTTTTATTTTAATAAGATCATGGATTTCTTTTTATTACCCAGGTTGAGCACCAAAGAGTAAAGAAATAAAGGAAGAAGATGTATTTTACATATCAATAATTTTCGGACAGAATAAAAATAAAAAAGGTTATAAATGTTCTAGATATAGAAGAAATTGCATATTTGAAACATGTCCCGATAAATGTATTTATTTTCTCCATAATCAGTTGACGGAATTTTTCCATTTTTTTTCCAAAATTTTCAGACAATGATAAGTTTACACATATCATAAGGTATATCATGTATATGGAGAGTTGGAAATATTTAAGATTAAAATAATCATACTTTATTATTATTTTTACTTTAAGATTCTAGACTTTGAAAAGTGGACGTTTCCTTGAACAAAGTGGATGTTAATATGTAAAAAATGTACTTGGAAGAGATCGGCTGTTACTTTAACGCGAATTTTATCCCAATATTATAAAAAGTGTTGAGGACTAAGGATGGGTCTGAGTTCTCACCAAAAGCTCTCATTGTTTCCCCTTTCTTCCATAATCTAATTTCTCTATTGCATTCGGATGTTTGACACAAACATTCAGAGACAGTTTGATAGCTTATAAATCATGGCTCCACACAACAAGCTCAAAAGTGCTACTTGAAAAAAAATTGGGTATGGATATGTAACGAATGGTTAGGAACGATTAGGAAACTCTGAAGGGTCTATCGATTCGGAGTGGGTCAAGGTTAGAGGGGCTCGTGGGACTAAAACTGGGTCGCTCGGCAGTGGTTCAGCGTGGGCAAGAATACACATAAATTGTTCCATCGCTGTCAACGAGGCTAGGATAGTGACATAATGGGTATTGAAGAAGCGTCGAGGTAAATATATATGAATGGCTCGGAAGTCTGGCAGTGATGCAACGACACCAACATTCGATAGATGTACACTGAATGACGCAGTAGTAGTAAGAAGCAGCGAGTCGTGTCCTGTACAACACAAAGCTAGATTTGGAATCTCCATGTTCGTTCCGCATGCGCTGCTCCTCATTCATAGCCTGTTTGCGGAAGGCTTTACATAAATTCATGCACCTGCCCGACAAGTAAGCATCATTGCGTACTAGCCCTGGTCTCATATGTTCCAGAACCGCGGAGGAAAATATCAGAGGGAATAAGAAAAAGGCGCTCGGGGCTCTACTGTTTTCTCTCGTGAAAAGACGCTGATAGTATCCCATCTATAGAGTATTGGCCCTGGCCCTGGCGGGTGGTTAAGGTGGATGATGAGCAAAATAGTAGAACGTGGTTGTTAACTGATCCGAGCCAAAGATCCCGTTTCGTTTCATCCATGTACAACTTGAGATCCCATGCTTTTGGGATTATTTTACTTTGCGAATCGATTTGAGCTGAATTTCTTTCTATCTCCCCCTCCCCCTCCTACATGTTCATCTCATCTGTGGAGCAGCACAGCGGCAGCAGCTGCAGCAGCGACAGCAGCAGGCGACTGATGGCATGGTAAAGCGGACTGGATCAATGAATGGGCGGGGCGTCCAGTCTCGTCTCGCGTCGAGCGTTCCGTCGTGACAGCCAGAACCCAGAGGGGTACGACCCGGCGTATGAGTGAGAGCATGATGATCTCATGAAGGGGTACGAGTACAAGTACCGCCCCCAGAACACGAAGAGAACAGAACGAAATTCCTACCCACTTTCACGACACACATACCCCCGGTCGGCATGCGCTCATCCAATTTGTCCACGTGATGAAATGCCTAACCGAGGTTAAACCTCGTCCCTTTCCCAGCCTTCCGATCCGCCATCGCCCACTCTGGTCCACTCTTATATCGCCCGGCCCGTCATTCTCTCTCGTGCTTGCCCCCCCCCCCCCCCCCTGTGTGTCTGGGGACCCATCGGTGCCGTACTGGGACAGCTCACAAGTTTTTAATCTCGCACACACCGATGACCGGTCCCCCTCGCGATCCTCGAGTGGAGCCCGTCGGTCCCGTGCTTGTATCATCAGTTGAGATTTTGTCTTTCTCGCACGTAGAAGTGCCCTCGGGAATGGTGCTCTCTGCTCTCGCTGCGCACAGCAGCAGCAGCTGCTGCTGCTGCTCGGAACTCACTGAACTCGCTCTCTTTCAGTCGTCGTCGAGTCCTCCCTCTTTTTCTCTCTCTCTCTCTCCCCCTTTTGCAAGCTCTGAGGACAGTGCAGTACTAGTGAGACTACTGGAGTGTTGTGGTGTTGTAGCGAGAGAAGGGAACGAGACAGACAGTAAAGAGTCAGGTCGTCGCTGCTCGTCGTCTTCTCATATCCTCACCTCTGCTCTCGTACCTTGTAGACTAGACGACAGCGATGTATCCAGCCATTCCCCACCACCCCCCAACCAACCGCACCCTCCCTCCCTCGGTCGCCTGAATACTCCACCCCCGGCCCTTCACCACTACGGGACACTGGAAGGAAGGAGCTCCGTCCTCACGACTGGCCGACTGACTGCCGGACTACTGGCTGCGCAGAGAGCATCACATCTCAGCAGTCCATCATCCCATGCCATGCCATGCCATGCCATGCCTCCCTCCCTCCTTAACATCGACGCATCGTCTCGTCCATATGCAGCAGCAGCAGCCGGTCAGTCACGCATCCTCCCTCCGGTTATGGCGGACGACTCGAGCTCTCGCATGTTGTTGGAATTCTCCACCCCACGCCGGCTTCGATGCATTCGTGTGCTCTCGTCAATGCCTGACTGGTGAGCGGTGCTGTGCGAGCCCGAGTCACCGAATCCACTACCGTCCCAGCACGTTCGGATCTCCATGGCTCACTTCTACCGCAGTTAACACTAGACGAGGGGCAAGTGTCTGCCCTTTCAACCCGAGTAATTAACCAGGGTAAGAGCCAACGTCAGAATCAGAGTAAGAGTAAGAGTAAGATTTAGCCCGGCTCTTATCCAGGGTCCGCCCTTGCGGAGCTTTCGCCTAAAGCTAATGGATACGACGTAGAGAATATAGAGTATACAGTAGAGAGTATGAAAATGTATACACGTACGTACAGTAGTACGCCGCTGTAGTCCCGATCCATGAGCATGCACCGCGGCAGCAGAGGACGGGGGAGGAGGGCCGGCGAGAGAAAGAGAGAGGGGTTGGGGTTGTGGGGTGGGGGTGAGGGGCTCACAGCCCCCGAGCACCGGGTGAATCTGTGTCTGTGGGCCAAGGCGAGCCATGGCATGGCATGCCAATACTGTGAGAGAATGAGGAAGAGAGGAGGGGAGAGGAGGACGCCGGCTGTTAGGACCAATTGCAGCAATTGGTCCGAACGAAAGAGAGCAGAGAAGAGCGGAGAAGGCAAAGCTCATGGAGGCATGACGGGAACGGGAAGCCAGGTAGGCAGAGGAGAGGGGGAGGAAGGACCACGGTAGAGAGGGGCAGGGGGAGCGAGTACTGTAATTAATCACAGAGAGAGGGGGTTGGGGTTCGTGTCCGGTTGGCTCAGGGCGTGCCTGCGTTGCGCGGGTCGGGGGTCACGGTGGGGCAGGGGAGCGGAATCCAGCCCGCGGATCAGTTGCAGTCAGCCGGTTACATTCCCTGAGCAACGACATCAGGGGAACGCAGCCACCGAAACGCGAAACACAGGCGCAGGCACAGGCAGCAGGCAACAGCAGCAGCGGCCAGCGGCAGCGGGACTCCTCATCATCATCATCAGAAGAGAGAGAGAGAGAGAGAGAGAGAGGTGGGGGGGGGGGGGGGGGGGGTGGAAGAACAAGAAGAAGCAAGAGAAGAGAAGAGAAGAGAAAGGAAGGAAGAGGAAGAGAGGAAGGAAAAGGAAAGGAGAGGGGAAAGACAAGAGGTGGAAGAGGAGGAGGAGGAGGAGGAGGTGGTGGTGGTGGTGGAGGTGGAGGCCATATAAGGAGATGTAGGACGGTGTGAAGGATAGTGCAGACAGACTTTCGAGCTTCACCTGCTGGCCGGTCTCCTCTCTCTCGCTCCTTCCTTCTCCCGCCTCCTGTTGCTCCCAGTGTTCGGGACTCCTGCCTCCCGCTCGCTATTTCTCTCGCTCTCGCTCGCTCTCAGTCTGCTGCCTTCTGCCTGCTTCTGCCTGCGTGTGCCTGCCTGCCTGCCTGCCAGCGTCCTGTGCACCAGCACCCCTCCCCGGCAAGTCTCTGTAGATTTCATGGTTGAGAAGGAGGAGTTCAAGGGATCGAAGATGGATCGTAGAGCTTCACGATTCAAACGAATCTGTGTCTTCTGTGGAAGCAGTAATGGGAAGAAGACACTGTACCGCAATGTAGCTCTGGATCTGGGCAAGGAAATGGTACTGGCCGCTGATCTTCCTGCGCGTTGTTGTTTTCCTCTCTTCTGCCGGCCCTTGTGCATGCTGCCTCTCCGGCGAAAATAATGGTGCAATCTTTATGCATGAATAGTATGCCTATGAGCGAGGGGGCTTTTCAATTGCCCCGTCGCGAGTCGCGTGAGGGTCCAGCGCGAGCCGTAGCGCCGAGTCCGTCGGAAGATTGTCATCCTCCCTCACGCGTCTGCCAGTACTCGATTGTCAGCGTGGACGTGCGGGGACAGATTTTCGGGGTGGTACATTGCTGCTTCGTTAGAGTTGTGTGCATCGTCTGCCCCGGGAAACCAATCAGGGGTGCAAATCAGGACCGCGACCGATATTGTACCCTAGCAGCGTCGAGGTTTTTCCTTGCATCCGCGGCGCATCATCAGCACATGCGCCTCGAATCATGGAACATCCAGCTTGCCTTCTTTACTTTTGCAGTCGGTGGATAAGGGAGGAAGTTTACCGTTTGGCACAAACCTAGGAGTCAGCGTAGGGTGGAATTTATGGTCCCTCATCGCATTAAAACTCTGTGATGCCGGTTGTGCGACGTCCCTCGTAAAGTAGGACTGTGGAGTTATGCATTTGATGTGCAATCTCTCCAATCTTGCCTGCGGCATGACGTCCGTAGCCACGCCCCGCCTCTGCAATTACATGTGGATCACACATTATGTGCCTAGAAATCCCACTTTATGGACGAAAGGAAGATACGCACGGCTGGGATAAGATAAAGTGCTCCGCCAAAAGCACATGCGTAAAAGATACGTGCTTTTCGTCATCTTCGGCTATGCGGCCGAGGATTTGTGAACGAGTGAGTGCTGCGGTTGCTGACGGCCATGTGTCTTTCTGCCATCCTGCAGGTGAAGCGCAAAATTGATCTGGTTTATGGAGGAGGAAGCGTCGGTTTGATGGGCCAGATTGCGCACACAGTCCACGACGGAGGCGGTCATGTCATTGGGTACGTGTGCATTGCTAGGAAGCGTTCAGAATGAGAAGAAATTTTGCAGTGCGCGTAATCCATAGCTCGAACGAGGCTTCATTCTGGCGAACTGCCGATTCTTACGAGCATGGTGTAGATGGGCTTCAGAGCTCTCGGACTGCTCGGAGTCGTTTCCTTTTCATTTTATTTTTTGAATTTCGAAGTCTGGGTCAGCTCGGGAGGAACATGCCAGGAGGAGCAAACAGTAGGCTGAGTCGATAACACGTGATCCGAGACCTGTGAATGCTCCCCTCCCCCTCGTACTGACCGGGCATATTTCCTCTATTAAGACGCAGTTTCAACGTATTGAGATATAGTACGGCTCTTTCCATTCATGTCCTACATTGTGTACATTTATTCGCATCCGGGTTTTGGACTTCTTCGTAGCGCACACCAGGGTCGGACAAACCACGTGTAAAGTGAATGCAATTTGGAATAGTAGCGGCATAGCTGTACCTTGTGATTTGCTAACCTTCTGTTGTGTTTTGTTTTTTTGAACAGTGTTATTCCGAAGGCGCTCATGCCTCAGGAGGTAATTTTCGTGCACTTAAACTGGTCTGCAATATAATGTCTTGAGGAGTCATTGTATGAGAGGTCGAAGCGTTGATGCGTTCATCAGCTGGCTTGAGTACAAGATTTGACAGACAATGATATAGCCGTGTAGTAATCAAAGGAACTTCAAGAATTCGACGAAAGTCAGTGTCGTGTGGGAATTTTTGACCTCGATCATGCATATGGTGCTCAGTCTGCTTCAGCCCAAACTGAGTCCAGAATCTTTGTGGACAGTGCCAAACTTACTTCTTCTTCTATCTGGGATGCGCTACATTATTGTACACGTCGTGTTGTCTTTGTTCTGATACCGGTTTTTCAGACTCTCCAGCTCCGCCTTAACTTTAGTAGTTCCGTTCCGTTGTCTTTACTTATGTAAGAAAGTGATGTAGTAATCTTGTTTCTTGGCGAGAAACTTATTGTTCCCTTCTACATTACTACACACCGCAGTATGTGATATGCATGTACACTCGCTTACTTCTAACTTTTTCTCTTGTTTCGTTTTCTGCCTCTTTACACGTGTACTGCCCATAATTGCCGATGCCTGCTTGCCCTCATCTGCAAGATTCCGTTATGGATACTCTATGAATATCTGTCCTTCGAATCTGTTGACTTCATCTCTTAAATCTGCAAGTCTTCCCCCCATGTATCTGCTGTTTCCTGCTTTCCCGTTCCCCCAACTTCCGCTCTGGATATTAAATGAATGCCTGACTTCGTGGCTTAGAATTTCCGATGCATGTGGTGATGCGTTAGATAGAGTCCGTACCTGGGTTTACCTTCCCGGTCTGTGTTCTTTGGTTTCCTTGCGTGCTAAACCCTTGCGGTTGATCAAGTGATTTCAGTCGTCACCTTCTGCCTTCCAAACTTTGTTTTTTTTGAGTCAATCCCCTGCCACTCTTAACCTAAGTAAAAACTTATTGAACATGTATACAACCTTTCTGCTAAAACCCTTTTCTTCTGCAATGCAATATTCTTCGTGTATCTTATTTATACGGCACGTGGAAACTTCTTCCACTTCCCTTACAACACCCTATGTTTGTTTCTTCAAATTTCGTACGCCGCATGTCAATGGTTCCTTAAGAGAGATATCCTAGAAACAGTTACCAGGTTCTACACTCCTTACTGTCTACTCGCAATTGCGAACGTGAAAGCAATCTCGGGTCGAACATTCAGCACACATGATGTACAGGATGCTCCATAGGTTCTTGGTGGATGACTTTCGGTCAATTTATGCAGGGTGGCCGGCATTTCATCAGTCCACTGTTCATGCCAGTGCACTGGCGTATGATATTGACAAGGATGGCAACAAAGAAATTGCCCTTGCTACATTCAACGGGGAAGTCTTGTTCTTCAGGTTATGCTTCATCCTCTGTCCAATGCCATCTTTGGAATACTTTTGTAGACTCAGATACAGGTTGTTGTTGATGTTGACCAACTCGTTGAATTAGTCGGAACCTACATTCTTGTTGGAAGTTGAATCGGAGGGTCTGGGTAATGATATGAATGTGAATTTGTTTCACCGTAGCTTAAAAAAAGCGATGGAACTTTTTTGGATTACAATGTTAAATTTGCTCCTATCATGTGAAGGTTTGGTGGTTACATGCTGACTGAGAAGCTGGTCGTGCCTCGACGGAAAGTCCGGAAAGATTGGTATGTAGGACTTGATCCCGATCATGTCGATCGTTCTCATCCAGACGTTCATGGTGACGAATACTTGAACCATCATGGTAAGTCGTTATCTCATAGTCTACAGTGATCTTTCCTCTTGCTCGTCTCCTACTTGCAAGTCATGTTCAGTCCCAGTTATTTTAGATTGAGGTAATTTAGCTTTACAATTGTCTTTTTATCCTTTGTGGTCAAGGACTCAGCTGTTACTGAAGTTAGTTGTTTCTCGATGGTTCAGATACCGCTCTATGGAATCAGTTGTTATAGATCTTCTGTGGCCAAATTAGTTCACAGTTTTTTGCACCCAGTACATTTCGTTATGCTCTTTATTTGTACACCTCTAAATTACATCTATGCACTACGGTACCCACTGATGAAGCAGCCGGGATCTTATGACGATGGAGTAATTCCCGTTCGGTAGATACTGTTGATGCTTCTTGTTTCCTCTTTTCGCATCGGATTCGAGGAGCCATACCGTTCATTGTTCTGTCACTGCCTATGCATTCGTTTGTTCTTCAAATTATGTCGTATCTCTTATTCGTGAACTTTATCACATGGACTGTTGCTACCTGCTTCCCCCTTTCTGCACTTACAACTTATGTCTGAAAAGTCTTTTCGTGCCTTGGATTCAGCCTTCTTCAGATTGAATGCTATGCGGTTCATTCTCTGACATGCATCCGGTTCGTTCTTGATTGCATGATAATGCCAATGCATCGGGCTAGGCCTTAGGTGGACTTTCTATGGTTGTATATCTCTCGGGTCTGTGCACTTTTTGTCTACTTGCTTGTTAAGGTCTTGCCGTTGATTACATGTTATTCTAACTGTACACCTCCATGTAGAAGATTTCTCTCATGGGCGTTCTTGTTTTTGACTGGATGTGCAGATCTGTCCTTGAATGGTAGCGAGGTGCATGTGTCACACGGTGGTAAACTTGTGGATGAAACAGACGAGGATCATCATGATATGATGAATGGTTAGTTTATCATTTCGTTGTATACTGATATCAGTCGAGTTGAGTTTCGTCAGTCCTCAGTTGTCGTGGCAGCTAAAGCGTGAATGTTTCAGGTGCTGGTGACCACGTTGACGACAAAACTACAGGGACCAAGGGTTCAGACTCTTCTCTCAATACAACTGTCAACGGTGCAGATGCCCTTAACCACGTTGAAAATATCACTGGAGATACCAAGGGTTCAGACTCTCCTCTCGATACAACGAACCATACAACAAGTGGAACTGAACATGGTATAAGAGAAATGTTAACCAAGGCATTGCTGTGATGTTACTCTTGTTTGGTCTGTGTGCTGGAAATTGCGTGTAGTAACATTTTCATTCTTTCCAGATACAACCAAATTGAAGGTTGACTCCACTGTTTCTCAAGATGGTTTGTCAACTGGAGGCATAGATCTACTCGCGGCGAAAGCTGGAGCAGAGAAGCAGGAGCCGAAGGCAAATACTCGTCGCCGGTTGCAACAAGAAACCAAAGATGATAGCGAGAAAGATGATGTTGAAAATAAAACCAACCAAGACGATGTTGCAACGGCAGAAGAAGATCAAGACGCGATGGAAGAAGAAGCAAAAGCTTCCTTTGACGTATTTAGGGAAGAGGATGAAAATGGCGAAGATGGTCTGACAGAGGAGTATGACTATGACTATGATGATTACGTTAATGAAGGCATGTGGGACAACAATGAGTGGGACGAAGGTGCTCATGAGAAAATTGAAGACTTTGTCCAAGTTGATGCACACATCCTCTGTACTCCGGTAACGAATGTCGAACCTTGAGGCCTCATTTTCCTGTTGATTACTCTAATGTCTTTCACAAATACTTGCATACGTTGAAGCTCAAGCATCGTCTTAATTACTGCAGGTAATTGCTGATATCGATAATGATGGAGTTGACGAGATGGTTGTTGCCGCATCTTACTTCTACGATCGTGAGTAAGTCTTGTCCTTTATGTTACGGTGCGAGCATAGTCAAGTGCCAGGATAAAATTCAGATTCATCCAAGGAGGAATATCCCCTCGTCATGTGGAAAGGTTATGGAAATTGTGTTTGATTTTTTCAGCTCGCATTAGAGATAATAAAACGATGGCTTTCTGGTTGTCAGTAGCCAGCGAGTATAAACTTCATCCTGGCCTACGCAAGAATATGAGTCGTGACCAAGAGATAATATGTTTGGCAGGTACTACGAAATGCCAGAACACGCGAAGGAGCTTGGGGATCTGGATTTAGGGAAGTATGTTGCTGGGGCCATCGTCGTCTTTAACCTTGAAACGAAACAAGTCAAGTGGGATACTTATCTTGACTTGAGTGTTGATTCTACAACTTATCGCGCCTATATATACTCTGCTCCAAGCGTAGTGGATCTTGATGGCGACGGACAGCTGGAGATTATTGTTGGCACGTCGATGGGTTTTGTATATGTCCTTAATGCTAATGGTACGTACTTTTTACTATCGTCTCTTGTCACAAGACTCGAATAAATATATGGAAGCGCTTATATATGCTTTTTAGCATTCTCCATGATCTGCGTTTTTACGATTTCGTTATCCAGACGGTCAGATCAATATCGTGCACGCCACCAAATTTCAACGCTCAAGGCCTCACTGTATTTGGACCTGTCTAAGTGTTCAACTAACTCTTTGTACGATTTTGCTTTAGGAGTTAGTAGCTGATTAGTGACCGATTCTGCTATATTACTCACTTTTGTGTCGACTCGTATACGGGAAATCTATAATCAAATCCATGAACGGTGCAATTTTTGTTGTATAAAGCTACTTCAAATGTGCCGACTTGTCAACTTGTCCAAATGCTGGAAATAGACCATGTAACTTCATCGAGCCTTGAGTTGTTTTACATAGACATCAGTTTTTATATCCTGCACTCCTACTTTCACTGTGATTGACTATTTCAAAAAAACTGTGACAGCAGGGAGATTGGTATTACTTACTATGGCGATAGCAGCAAAAGCTTTTTTTACAATCTCAGTTTCATCACACTTCAATTGCTCACATAGCAGAGTTTTCGATTGATGATAACTTTGCTTCTTTTAAAGGTCAGACAAGAGCTCTAGATATAGATCAGCGGGTCTTTGAAATGTTTCTCTTTTCATAGCTATCCTCTGATGACATTCTTTTGTTTCTTTGGGCAGGAACCTCGAGGAAGGGGTTTCCTCTGCAGATGGGTGAAATTCAAGGTCAAGTTGTAGCTGCTGATGTTAATGATGACGGTAAGATTGAAATTATCACTGCTGATGCGAAGGGCACGGTAGCTGTTTGGGATGGAGATGGGAAAGAGCTGTGGGAAGTTCACTTGAAGAGTCTCATATCTCAGGTAGTCAATCATCAACTTCGGTTCTTATAATGTCATGAGAAAGTTTAGACATGCTCCTCCCTGTCGGGCTTTCGCTTCTTGTGTGTTAGAGATCATATGGAGTCAAAGCCGAAATATTTGTTTCTCCCTCGATTAGATAATGAAATGATTCCAAATCTGACTGCGGTATATGTACCCATGCTAGACATTTTGCCAGTTAGCTTCAGTAATTGTTCGACACATAATCACATCGCTTCTTTTTCACAGCTCCATGTTGATGGTCATTATTTTCCTTTCCGATTTCACTTTAATTTGATGGGATGTTCAGCAAATACTGAAATTTCGTATCACGTTTGAAATAGGGTCCAACAGTGGGGGATGTAGACGGTGATGGACACACAGATATAGTTGTTCCAACAACCTCTGGAAGCATTTACGTTTTGAAAGGACAAGACGGTTCACATGTTGGCCCGTATCCTTTTCGCACTCACGGGCGCGTGATGTCCCCTGCACTTTTGGTCGATCTGAGCAAACGGGGTGCTGAGCGCAAAGGACTGACTATTGCCATTGGATCTTTCGATGGATATTTCTATCTGATTGATGGTCCCACGGGCTGTGCGGAGGCGATTGACATCGGGGAGACAACGTGAGTCCCTCTAACCAAGTGAAAGGGGTTGAGACGTGTTCTTTCGTGTTCACTTGACTGAACCTATTCGTCGAAGAACACTCTGATGCTCTGCAGGGTTAGACTCCTGATGTTTCGTCTGCGGTGTCTGCAGCTATAGCATGGTACTCGCAGATAATGTGGATGGTGGTGACGACCTGGACTTGATAGTTACTACAATGAACGGAAATGTGTACTGTTTTCAGACTCCGGCTCCTCACCACCCACTCAAGGTTTGTTCAATTTTAAGGAGTATTCAGCAAGAAACCCTTGCTGTAAAGAACTTCGATGCTAGCTTAGATTAGCTTAGCTTACTGTTTATTCTCAAAATCTCCACATGGAACATCCGGAAATGGTCTTGCCAAGTTCCTCAGTCGTACTTGGTCTACGCCGAAGGGACTTTGCTCGATTCTGTGTTGATTGTGTTCTTGCATTTTCAGAGATTGTAAGTGATCATAGTCAGATCATCCTTGTAGTGATATTTCAGTTGCTGGCCACGGCCGTTCTCTTTACGATTGCACTTTCCGGTTGGTTTGGTATGTCCTCCATAGTAGTTTCATGGTGTCTTTTATTTTAGAATACTATCTGCGAACTGCCGGATAACTTCTGAACTTGGGGTTTGAAATCTTCGACCATTTTGTGGCAGGCATGGCCGTCGCAGACGCAAGGCAGGAATGTACTGGCGAGTCGGCATCAGCGGGAGGGAATTTTTGTTGTGCCTCGATCGCGAGCATTTCGAGACGAAGCCGGCGACAGCTTCCATGTAGCTTATGAGATTGTAGATAAATATCGCCCGAATGGGGCGGTCCAAGGGGCCTACCAAGTTAAGGTACAGTACTTTTTTTTGAGGTTGGTGCTTCGATGGCTTTCTTACTTGGTGTATGGACGACCCTGACCGTATGAATTGGCTGTCTGCTACACAGGTCACGTTGATGACTCCTGGAAATTATCGAGGTGAAAAGAGGATTACATACAACTATACTCACGACAACCCTGGACTTTACATAGCCACTTTACCCTGTGTTGCTACACGTACCGGTGGAACTGTCCTGGTGGAGATGCTTGACAAAAATTCCCTATACTTCCAGGATGAGTTCGCATTGACCTTTCACATGCATTACTATCGACTTCTCAAGTGGCTTCTGACTTTGCCTCTTTTAGGCATGACCGGTATGTTTCTTGTTTTCCGGCCTCAAGAAGGTGCACCTCTTCCATCATTTACGAGAGAAAGACATCAACTCTAGATATTGGTGTTTCCCTTAACAACTCACAAATTCTTTGGAGGCCATGTAGACAGCTGGGACCTTGCTCGAGGAGAAACACATCTGAAAAGTGTGTTTCAGCAAGATGGCCGTAGTTGGTTCCTCATTTACTCTTTCCTAGACCATGTTTGGTAGCTAGTAGATTATCTATTCAACCAGATACAAAGAAACAAAGATTCATGTCTCAAGGTAGCCTCAAAAGACTGCGGTGTCAGCTTCCGCCGATGTATTTTGTCCTCGCGACTTATTTCAGCAGTCACGCCGGTAACAAGAAATGAAATTTCAACTTAACAAGAAGTTTGTCAAATGTTTCATACGCGAGAAGGTCGAGCAATGTGTGTTACTCAAACCTGATATGACTTGGGATAAAGGTAGTGACGGGTTTCTTGGTTGAGACTCGAAGGTTAGAGCGAAACTAAATTCGAAAGAATTCGTTCTAGAAGAGACATGCAGTTGTCTTCTCCCCAGCTGTTGCGCAAGCACTCGGAACCCAGGCCGAGAGATTCATGCTGTTTACGCAGTAATAAGCAAATTGTAAAGGGTGTTACACAGTAGCAAAGTACATGTCTATTATGGCGTAAATGGGAAAATAGTCATAATGGAAAGAGTGTTCTTTATGCATCAAGGCCACAGTCAATTAGCAATAGGTTGGAGAAAATTACTTGATGGGCCCAGTGAAACTCAAAACACATAACGGGACCAACAGGTTTTATTTTTACCGGACGGGACCCCACCGACAGTAATGTGCCAGTACTATCTAGGGTTATTTCGAGTAGAACATGAAGTCACTGCAAGACCATATCCGGAGTATTTCATACTCATGGTGCCCGTCATTTTCTTAGAGCCATTTTCGTAGACATGGCTGCGAACTAGTAGCGAAAATACTCTGGCCCGACAGTGGCGAACACTCCCCACTCTATAGAGCAAATCAGTAGATTATAAGAACATGGCTTACGGTGGCCGTCGAATGGGGTCCCATCGGAGAAAATGAAACCTGATGGGTCTCTTCAAGACGGATTGAGTTTCCAAGGGTTCCAAGTAATTTCCTCCAATAGGTCGTGATTTTAAATTTGCATGTACGCAAATTCCACAAGGCTCGTTTTACTGGGATACTCATAACTGAGATTGCAGGTTGCCCGCTTGTAGATTATACTACAATACTACTATGATTATATTACTATCATATTACTTGTTAAACTCCGCAATTACGCTAAGTTGTTAACGAGTGGCATTCTTTTGTGTGAGGTGTGTATTAGTTGCTCTGGTGTCAATTTTGTGGAGGCTACAAACTGCCCAAGTTAAGCCTCAAATTGGAGGCCACAACCGTCGACGACTTGCGTCGACCATATATTCCAAGGTAGCATCCAATTGCGAGCCAAAAGGTCGCACACGTGGATGCTGACTCGTGAGGAATGGCGGGACAGCGCACTCTTGTGGGTGCCGAGTTCCCAAAGCGATCGATGAAATGATTCCGCAGAAGCTCCCGGGTCTTGCGAACGTGGACGCCACGTGGTCAGTGCAACTCAGCAAGACGTCGAGTCAATGGAGCTCGCACGAATGTGCCAACTGGTGGGCGAAGAAGCCTCCGCAACCACGTGTCAGAAGCTCTGAGTCCGACAAGTCAGGGATGCTGGATTCCCGAAGAATCACGGAAAGTTCTTCCGACAAAGCCCGAATCTCTGACGACGACGACGACGAGACCTGCGAGGCTGGGGCAAAATCCGCACCATCTTCTGATCGAAGCTCTGTTGTATCCACTTGTTCGTAGAGCCAGGAAAGACGACAGTTGGGAGAATTCGGAGAAATCGCAGCAGCTGCAGATCGGAGCTCTCTCTTCAGTCAGTCATATAGGCAGGAAAGAAGGAAGAGCGTGGGAAATCGGCTCAATTCGGAAATTTGTGAAGAAGGCTTTCGAAGAACAATGTCCGAGCTGCGCAAGGACATGATTGTGAACAGGTGGGTGATCATTTCGCCGCGCAGAGGCAAGAGACCGCATGACTTCACCGCCGAGACAAAGCCGTGCATACAGCCTGGTCCGTGTGCCTTCTGCCCGACTCACGAGCATGAGACGGGTCCGGAGACGCTGGCATTCCGAGACGGCGACAAGACGGACGGGCCGTGCTGGAGGGTGCGAGTCGTGGAGAACAAGTACCCGGCCGTCTCCGTCGATATGGAGCCCTCCGATGGATTGTGTAAATCGGACTGCGGAATCTTCGAGGGATGCACAATGCCAGGGTTCGGATCACACGAAGTGGTGATCGAAACGCCGGACCACGATTCCACGTTTGCCCAGCTCCCCGTCTCGCAAATCGAGGAGATTTTCAAAGCTTACCAGAGTCGCATCGAGCACCTCCGGCAAGACACACGATTCAAGTTCGTTCAGGTACTCCAATCTTCTGCCGCCCAGTTCTCATTCTGTTCAGACTTTCCAGAGGTCACGAGCCTCTGTTTGCCGCCAAAGGAAGGGCGATCGAAACGAGCGCCGCAGTTCTTCGTTGCTTTCAGGCTATGCGAAAAAAATTGTGTCATCTGCCATGCCCCCACCATGTCATTTGTTTCCTCCAAGGCAAGTCCGCCCGCCATTGCCATATCATATGGTCGTCGGAAAGAAAGGAAGACGGAAGGAGTTTCTGAATTTGTGTGAAGAGCAGGTTTTCAAAAATCACGGCAATGCGGCCGGAGCGTCGATGTCTCATTCACACAGTCAGATCATCGCTCTACCCATCGTCACCCGGGCTATGGAGGAAGACATCGCCGGCTCCAAAAGTTATTTCGATGCCAATGAAAGATGCGTTCTGTGCGACATTCTTTACCAGGATACATGTCTCAACAAGGACCGGTTGATCGACGAGACGCCAGTCGCCATCACCATCTGCCCTTATGCTCCCAGATTCCCTTACGAGACCTGGCTCATCCCGCGCTCCCACAACTCCAATTTCGGCACCGTCCCCGCTCACGAGGTACCGTAATCGATCCCTTTCATGCCTTGCTCACGAATTCGTTCTAGCGGCCATTGTCGGGAGACTGACATTGCGTGGGGGACAGATCAAAGGACTGGCGGAGCTGATCAAGACCACGCTGCTCAAGATGGACGAGGCCTTCGACCATCCGCCGTTCAATTTCATGCTGCACACGGCTCCGTTGCGGGACTGTACCGATTTGCCCTACTACCACTGGTACATGCGAATCGTCCCGCATCTCATCACGCTGGCCGGCTTCGAGCTCGGCAGCGACTGTCATATCAACCCCGTAGCTCCTGAAGACGCCGCCCGAGTTCTGAGAGAGACGACGTTGACGAGTGACTGACTGACTGACTGACTGACTGACTGCGCAGTCCGCGCACTCCTGCCCTCGTACAGTCGATGCCGCCGACCACGGTGCTGTGATTCACTGACCGCCAAACTATGTCTGGGCTCGTGGTTGCAGTTTTTAAGTGACTGGATACATTCCTTTCGAATGTAGGTTCTATCAAAGGGGTCTCATTCCCCTGATCATGGTATCACACAGCCTAGAACTCAGGACAGGAATCATGGATAATATGACCTGCAGAACCTTCATATCAAACCGATTCTTTATCTCGAATACATTAGATATGCACAAGATTACAGACTCTTTAAATCTTTTACTCCCATTCACGAGTTTCTGACCGAGGAATTTTGACCTTTCAAATCTTGCTGTTACATTAGGGGTTCAGTTCGACTAATTAGAAAAATCAGCTTTTTGTTTCTTGAGGTTCCAACTTTACTTGGAAGTTTTGATAGTTATGTACAGTACTACATGTACAAATTCATTGTGACGCAATATTATCAAGTAGTAAGATAAGTTGAAATAAAATTTCAAAGTACTTTGATTGAGTTGTACAATTTTCATGGAAAATTTACATTTTCCATGCAAACACTGAATTATACACTTAATACTATTATCCGATATTTAAAAATTGCTTACATATATATATATATATATATATATATTAATTAAAGTATAGTGATCACGTCATAACGAAAATAAATAAATGCTATATGTATAAATTCATATCTATAAATTTCACATTTAAATAACACATATTAGTTTTTGTTTCAATCCAATCCAAATGTTATAAACTAACTTGATTAACATAAAAAAACATACATTAAATATAAATTTACGTTTACATTTTAACTATATTTATTAAATGTATAAAATTATTACTACTTTAAACAAAAACTTAAAATCAATGTCTATTTATATCACGTAAAAAATTATCCAAATAAGAAATATAAAACATATCCCACAACCTTCAGTCAGCTTAAATCTCAATTTTGTCTCTACATCTCACTAACTGTAAGTAAAACAATGAGTTTTGGCTCAAAGACGCAGCTCAACCTGCAGATGGCTACAGACGTTCAACTGAGTGACTAGATGCCGGAAGGTAGACAAATGTGTGCTATTGAATGGAAGGCAGAAGAATGTTCAACAGTTTGTGGAGACGCACCCACGATGACGAGGAGGAGAAATAGTTCGACAAGGATGATTCTCTTGACATAGACTGGGATCGCGCTAAATTTCATCATGGTGATATCGAACTTACGGAATGATGTCAACATGAGATCATACAAAAAGATGTCCACAAAATCCTCTGCACTGGTTTAGGATGCACCTGCCACACTTTCTCTATGCTTAAACTGGTTCAAGCCTCAACGACACCCAGTGTACATTTGGATGTTTTGTTGACCTCCAGGTATTTATGAGAAAATTAAATAAACCAAATCAAAGGAGTGTGGACCGACTTTGGGGTCATCCCATCCTTATAGAGAAATTTCTGAGCGCGTTTCCACCTTGAGCAAACTGTGGTCAACCACACGGCATCCAACTGGATCTGAACTAGTTATCTGCTAGACCAGAAGTTATAGATGACAGATGCCATTTTCAAAGATCTCTTGTCGACTCAAAGCATATTTCGTCGTCAAAAGTCAATTCTAACTTATACGGCGTACACACGTTCCTTGAAGTACAGTAGTCAGTGTGACTACGACTGAAGTGAATTCTAAGGTCGTAGTCCGCACAGAAAACTAAGCCACTGCTTACTCAATGCCGTATATGTGGACATGCAGACCAAGCCACTTGCTTCTGATCATCCTTTTTAGTCAAAACTTCGGAATACTCGAAGGGGCTTGTCCTCAGATCTAATGATCATATCTTCATATCAGACCGCCTGAGCAAGCTTATGTACTGTACTTTGCACCTTGAGGTTACGAGTGAACAGGTCAGGTCACTACTTTGGACTAGGCTGCTGGCTCGAACAAAGGCTTCAGG